TTACAGTTGCTAAGACCCCAGTGGGTGTTTGTCACAGGGTGCTCTTTTAGTTTGCTATCTCCAGGTGACTTATGTTAATCAGTTCAGTTAGACCCTCTACCTTGTCCCCAAAACAGAGGGCTTTCTGTATCCCAGGTTCTTGCCTTGGTGTACCTGAAGAAATGGATCACACGAGGTCTTGGAGAATAAGTGCAAAGTTTAATTGAGTGGAGCTAGCTCTCCGCCCTAGGGGGAGCCAGAAGGGATGGTATTCCTCTGCAGTTGGGCCGCCCAGCAGCCCCAGCTCTCCTCCAACTGCTCTGGCCAGACTCTACCCCATCCTGCTGGTCGGTGGCCTGCTGGTGTGCTGTTGTCTCTCTGTCGGTGTGCGCTCCCCTCAGCTTCCTCTCACCATCCAGCTGCTTGTGTCTTTTCCTGCCGATGCCCTCCTCTTAACATCTGGCTGCTTGTGTGTCTGCCCACTAGGACCTTGGGTTTTTGTAGGCCCAGAATGGGGGGTGCAGTGAGCCAGAATGAAAATGGAAAATGCAACAAGGACAGAGGGCTTTCTGTATCCCAGGTGCTTGCTTTGGTGTACCAGAAGAATTTGATAACACATGGTCTTGGAGAATGAGTGCAAAGTTGTGTTGAGTGGAAGTACCTCTCTGCTGATGGGGGAGATGGTTTTCCTATTATGGTATAATAATGTCACATACCTAATTTGAAACCTTTACTTCAAATCAGTTTTTGAGAGTTGGGCCACTTGGCGTCCCCAGCTTTCTTCCAACTGTCCCAGCCACACTGTCTTGTCCCACTGGTTTTTGGCCTGCTGGGGTGCCCGTTTCTGTCAGTCTGCTCTTCTGCCAGCACGATTCCTTGACATACTCTGGCCATCCAGCCACTTGTGTCTTCTTCTGCTGATGTTTCCTCTTGACATCTGGCCACCTGTGTGTCTGCCCACTAGTGTCTCAGGTTTTTATAGGCCCAGGATGGGGGTGTGGTGGGCCAGGGAGGTCTTGGAAAATGCAGCATTTGTGTGTAAAGCAGGAGTGCCTGTCCTCACCTAGGTCTGTGGTGTGGAGCCCTAGACAGGGACCTGCCTTTTTCTACCCAGCACTTTCCTGCCCCTTTTTATATCACTTCCTATATACAGTATGGTAAGATGGTCTCAGTAAGCCCCATTTTTAATAAACTCTAAAAAACTGTTTCCATTCTAAAACTATGTCATCTTCTGTACTGCTTTGAGGATTATAGTTAGCTATGGTTCATGCCATTTATTATTCCTTCCACAAATAGCTTTATAAATAACGTTATAGCCACTTCCTTAATGAGATTAATATATTGGTAGAACTTACTTATAAAGCCACTTGGTCAGTTTTTGGATGTTGCTATAGCCTGAAGAAATTTGGGACATACACATTATGAAAAAGTATTAGTAATAATGCACTTTAAAAGCATTTACTTCTTCAACAGTTAAAAATGATTTGTTTCAAACTCAATCTGATTTGTAGTTTAAGAATCTTTGTAGTCCTTAAGTTCCCACCACAGTCTTTTGTTTGTATGACTTCACAGGTAATTAACTGAGCCAAATAACTAAAGAGATGTAAGCATTTTCTTTTAATCTAAGAAATAATGAAAATATACCGGATACTAGCCTATAGGCCATACTGTCAGTAAACTAAAATAGTGAGGCATACTTTCTGAGTAACTGGAGCCTCAGTTGCCCATTAAGTAATATATTAAACTGTAAAAATGCTAATCTAATCAGAATTTAAATTTCAAAAATTAACTAGATAACCCTTGAAAAGGCAGCCAAATTGCAGAGATAGAATGACAATCTTTTGCTTTAGCAAGTCTTCGAACTGCAGAAAACAAATTGGGTGCACATATAAGTGAAAACATATTTGAAAGTTAATAAAAGGAATATGACACCATTTAATGAGTAATAATAATTACTGGTTGCTTTAAATGTGATGTTGCTCCATTTGATCTTCACAGCTATTTGGTTAAGTAGATGGGGCAGGTGGTACTCTTCATTTCCTTTTTTTCATATTCAATAACTGAGGCTCTGGGCAATATAGTAACTACCATTGGTCTTCTCTGAGTATATAGCAGAGGCAAGGCACAACCCCAGGCAAAGCTACCCCTTTGTCTTGCCACTGCATAACAATGCAACATATATAATTTGAAACCTTTACTTCAAATCAATTTTGTGACCACTCGTATTAGCCAGTTCTCATACTGTTATAAGAAATACCTAAGATTGGGTAATTTATAAAGAAAAGAGGTTTAATTGGCTCAGTTCTGCAGGCTGTACAGGAAGCGTGGCTGGGGAAGCATCAGGAAACTTATAATCATGGCAGAAGGGGAAGCAGGCACACTACACAGGACCAGAGGAGGAGGAAGTGGTGGGTGGGAGGTGCTACACACTTTTAAGCAACCAGATAATATAAGAACTCTCTATCACAAGAACAGCAAGGGGCAAATCTGCTCCCATGATCATGTCACTTTTCATCAGACTCCTCCTCCAACATTGGGGATTACATGAGATTTGGGTGGGGACACAAATCCAAATCATATCACCACTTAAAAAGGGGAGGGTGTGGGCAGAGTGAAGGTAAAAGGATAGAACAAGAAGAGAATAGGAAAAGGAGAAATAAACAAGACATAGCACAAAAGGGAGAGGAGATGGAAAGAATAAAAAACAAGGAAGCTGAAGTGTTAGCAATGGGGCTCACAGGTTACATAGTGAGTATCTTGGATGTCACACTGTCTTTCCTATTAGGATGTAGATATGTAGCTATTCTAAATGGTTTTTTCAGAGTTGTTGTTGTTCCTGAATGGGAAATAACCCCTTCGATTGGTTTTCATTCTCTGAAGTTTTTATATTTCTTTCTTTTGTGTTTCCTTTCATTTATTTAAACAAGTGCTTATTTCTCTATGAAATATAGTTTTATGTATGTGTTTTAAATGACTTCAGTTTTAGAAATGTACTTGAGACCTCTGTATTTTATTATTATTTTTCTTTTTAGTCTAATTGTTTATTATTGTTGCTAAGAGATTCCTCAATGATCAGAGAAAACACTCTTACTCCAGGGATAGAAAAGGTTTAATTATTATTCATTTCTCAACACATAACTAACTTGCCAGTTGTAAATTTTCTAATATAAATGTTAATCCTGTCTTACCTGGTCCTGTATTAGAAAAATCAGGAGCAGATTTTTGTACAATTCACCTTTTGAGTTTAACACTAACCTGCAATAAGATTGGTATAAGCAGTTTTATTTTTCTCTGCCTTGATTTTTCTGTTACCTCATATCAAGTGATATTATCTTTGTTCCTGTTAATTTACAGGTATTCTGAAATATAATTTTGAGAATAAATAGTTTTATAAAAATAGTCTCATTCTATTTGCACAATTTGAATTAGCTTTATGCTCATTCAATTAGCTTAACGAGTAATAGAGTTTGGATACCTCACCTGGTGGTAATCTTTAGATCAAAGCATTACTGTTGGGTTTTAGTACTATAATTCTACCAATACAAAATCCTGAATTTACTGCTTTCTTGTGGGAGTATCCCATTTCATTAGGGGGTATAAAGGCACCTTGGGTCTTCTTTTACTTTATGGAGAAATAGGAGAGGAGATAATAGCTTAAATCTATTGAATTAGATTCTGGAACCGAGTGATTTACAATACTGGTAAGCTAACATATACCAGTTTTAGTTCCAGCTCTTCCACTATATGGCCATGTGACTTACAACAAGTTATTATTCTCCATGGGCCCCCAATTCCCCTGATCTCTAAGTGAAGATGGAAGTAATTAGAAGGTTCAAAAAATTTTAACTCAAAAATCTTTTGTCGTTTTCAAAATTAATCTTGTATAAGGCCCCTAAATTTAAACTAGATTAGGTAATGTGCTGATTGCTGAAGGTACAGTGGGAGCAAAAACTGCATCCTAAATTTACTGAATGTACCCATGCATCATGATTTCAAAGTCACTGGGCTAAACAATTTTAGGGACACTTCCATGTGTAACTTTATTGAGTCATATCTTTCAGTGAAAATAATCTGATTTACTCTCAGGAGGGAAATCTCTATTTGCTGAAATATATTAAGCTGCTGAAATATATTAAGCTAATGCTAACCACCAAAGGAAAAAAAAAAGTCCACTGTAGAACATGTGTATGTTGATGTTTGCTTCTTCTGACCAGGAGGATGTTTATTTGGTCCTTTCATAAAAGTAAAGGGAAGAATAGCAACCGGTAATTTTGACAGTTTGAAAAGTCATCATAGTATAATTTTAAGTATAAGTTAGATGGCTTATTACAACTTCATAAATGAAAAAAGAAGGCATTATAGACTTTCTAACATATGATGATGTTTAATTACATACTTGAATTTTCGATAGTTTATATGAAGATATATTTGCCTAAAGATTTTATTTCACTTGCACTATTTATTCTTAGCTAGGCTAAATCATAAGCCAGCTTCATGAAAAGAAAAATTTAAGACTTCTCTGCTTTCAAATATGAACAGTTATTATCTACTCAAACAAAGTAAGGAAGTCAAAAAAGAGAGCACCTTTGCCAACGCTAACCTTTCCCTTAGACTGTGTGGGAGTAAAGCTTTTATTTCCTATAAGAAAAAAGATAATAAAGTATTCAACAGGTTCAGGAGCTGGAAATTATTCTAGCTTTAAAGTGGGGGGGTCACTTGATTTTTTTTTCATAATTTTATGAGGTCTCAGGACATTTGACATGTAAATATAATGTATATTTAATATAAAGTATGTATATTTAACAATCAATATGATAAAAATGACTTGGTATTCATGCCCCAATTTGGAATCTCAAATCAAACTTACCCCACAAACATTAGAAAATTGAGAAATAGTAAAAAATCTGTGCTGAGCCTTTTGTACTGCCTGTAGTTTACTCTGGGTAAACGTTCAGCCCCATATGCTGTATATTTCTTTCTTAAATTTACGTTTTCACAATGCATGAAATAAAATATTTCAGATACTTCAGAAAAGCTTTACAGCTTACCCTCAGAAGAGTTACCAGCCTTCAGCAGCCAATCACTTAATGTAAGTCTGACTTCCACAGATTTCCTTAAGACCTCACATGTGAGGGGGCCCTGTGGAGTTGAGGAATTGAGGTAAGTTAAGCCTGTGCTTTATATATTAATACAGTATGCAGTAAAATTTTGACAAGCTCCAACTAGTTATCTTTATTATATATAGAAAGATTGTCCTCATGTGTGTACTTTATATAACCGTTTTTTATAAAATGTTTGGGTCCTTTGCTGATCTATTATCAAGCTTTAGTAAAAGGCTTATAAAGTTGTTACTTTAATGTAAGATCATTCTCTACTGCACAATATGTATTATAAAAATGAAAAGATATTTGGAATATAATAATATTTCAGCATTTTTTATTGTATTGAAAAACAATTGCCTTACCTAAATTAATTAACCTCATAAATTTCAATACTTTGTATTAATAGAATCCTACCCAATGTGAATAAGGTTTTTAGGCTGAAATAGTTTCTTTCTTGAAATCAAGTCTAGATAATTAACAATAACATATTTTAATTTGTATCACATTATTCTTTCCTCACATAAAATACGTTTGGGGATGTTTAAGTCGGTTTACAAAGAATGTAGGTTATACTAGTAAAAGTTTCAAAAAAAGTAGTCTATTGTGTCAGTTTATTACTGACACACTGCAGTTCCTTGAAGGAGCAGGATTCCTTCTAGAAAGACTAAAATAAGCATAAAATAAGTTATTGGTATTATAAATTTCTTTGATTGAAATTTAATTGAAATCTAATATTGCAGTAAAAAGGGAATCAAGAGTTTCTTATTCTTTTTGGAGGAGTAAAGCATTGAGCTATTGTTCTTGGTTTTTGCATTTATTTCTCTTCTTTAAAATAATTTTAAGACAGGGTCTCCACATGTTGCTTAGGCAGATCTCAGACTCCTGGGCTCAAGTCATCCTCCTGCTTCAGCCACCCAAGTAGCTGGGACTACTCAGGCCACTGCACTCAGCCTAGATTTTTGAATTTCTATTATCACTTAACTTTTGTTTTTAAAGGATTTATATAAGATTGACAATTTTCCCTTAGAAAAATCATTAAATCAAACTAAACCTACAAATATTCTCATCATTCGTAAGACAAATGACATTCAATACTAAAAATATAAGAGGACTTTACTAACAGAATAAAGCACATTTCTTTAAAATTATAAATCTCACGACAGTCACTAGCTCTTCTTTTCTTGGACCATTGAAAATTATAATCACAATGAGATTTTTATTGTTCCACAGACCATAGTTTATGAACTGCTCATTTAACCTGTGTTAAGCATAAAAAATAATCCAAAAGGCCAGATGAGGTGGCTTAAGCCTGTAAGGCCAGCACTTTGGGAGGCCAATGCGGGCCGATTGCCTGAAGCTCAGTAGTTCAAAGCCAGCCGGGGCAACATGGCAAAAAGCTGTCCCTACTAAAAATACAAAAAATTAGCCAGTTGTGATGGTGGGTTGCCTGTAATCCCAGCTACTTGGGAGGCTAAGCCGGACAATCGCTTGAACGTGGGAGGCAGAGGTTGCAGTGAGCCGAGATTGCACCACTGCACTCCAGCCTGGACAACAGAGCAAGACTCTGTCTCAAAATAATAATAACAGTTATATCTATCGCAGAGCAAAGTATTTTATATTATTTAGCAGAAAATATAGACTGAGACTCTAGATTATTTAAGACAAAAAAAATCTGAATTATGTAGGCTTTTATCTGCTCCCCATCTTACCTTTGTTCCCAAACCTTAGACACTCAGGTGTTAGAGCTTCCATCAGTGCACCCTACTGCCACCAATAAAATGCAACAAAATAAAATAACAAATAAATGCTGTCATTAATTTTTACTTTGGCATATCCTGACTGGCTATCTACATAGTCCTAATTTACAGTATACAGAAGAGGGATTTATCTGGCAGTCTATTCACTGGGATTCTATTAAACAGCCAGTGTTATGATGAATTTTCTTAATGATGACCCTGAGGCTCTGCAAGTTTCTAAAGTGCCTCTGAATCATCAACGAAAGACACAATCAGAGACCATAAAGTCTCTCCTTGGTTCCACTGTGGCTTTATTTCTTGGGAGAGGGAGAATGATGAGAATTTCTCATTAAAAGGAAGCTTGGTATATTGGGTGTACTAAAAATTATGGCCCCAGTCTGATACAGCCCCCTCACATCTGCCTGCCTCCAGCAACTCCAACGTATGTAGTATTGATCAGAAGATAAATGAAGAGTTGAAACCTGGTTCTGTATATTGTGTATTGATCTTGTTATATATTTTCAGCTCTTCTGGAAGAGATACCAAAATTCAATCTTTGCTGTCACTTTCTGAGAGCAGTACAGATGATGAGGAGGAAGATTTTCTCAACAAACAACATGTCATCACACTACCATCGTCAAAGAGTACTTAATGATTATTTGTTCATTACCTTTTCCATTTTGTACCCACAGTGAACAAACAACTGAGAAAAGTAACCAAGTGATTACTGTCCAAATGCTGGAGATTTTGATTATTAATGTCTTTGATGTTTCAAGGCGGCAAACTAATAAAAGTAAAATTATAAGTTTAAGGGCTTATTTTCTCAATGATATATTGTATGTCAAACACTAATCTATATTGCAGATTATATTAGTGAAATATGGTGAATTTGAAGAAATAACTGTTATAACTATCTATAAAACCTACCATAGGATAAAACGTGATTATATTTAAAGTAATATTTAATTGTTCAATTATATTTTAGATAGTTATGTCATCAACAAGAGTTGCTGCATTTGACAGCCAAGTCACATAAATCGATATCATCAATGGAACCAATAATTACCCTGTTTGTTTTCTGGTTTTTAATATTTATAGAAGTTCTGGTATCTTCAAAAGTTTGCAATGGAAGAAAAAAAGAGGACCAAAAATCAAATGGATGTAAAACCTTTCATACTCTGCTTTAGCAAAGCACACTAAAGACCCCCAAGCATCTTTTTAAAAAAGGTCAATGTAGTGATTAGTTTTATGTGAAAACATGACTGGCCTACAGTACCCAAATGATACGGGTTGGCTGTGTTCCCCATCGAAATTTCATCTTGGATTGTAGCTCCCATAATCTCTAGGTGTCCTGGCAGGGACCTAGTAGGAGATAGTGATTAAATCATAGGGACACTTAACCCTATGCTGCTTTTCTTGTGATAGTGAGTTCTCATATGATCTGATGGTTTTATAAAGGGCTTTCTCTGCTTTTGCTCAGCACTTCTCTTTGCTGCTGCCATGTAAAGAAGAATGTGTTTGCTTCCCCTTTTGCCATGATTTCCTGATTCCTCCCCAGCCATACTGAACTATGAGTCAATTAAACCTCTTTCCTTTACAAATTACCCAGTCTTGAATATGTCTTTATTAGCAGCATGAGAATCGACTAAGACACCAGATACTTTGTCAAACCTTATAATAGATCCATGAATAATGAAGGCACCATGCCTCTGCCTGGTCAAAAGTCTGTGTATTACTTTTTACTCCTCCAAAATGTAACTAATAGCCTATGGTTGACTGGAAGCCTTACCTACAATATAAATAGTCAACGAATACATATTTTGTATGCTATATGTATTATATACTGCATTCTTACAATAAAATTAAAGAAAATGTTACTAAGAAAACCATAAGGAAAATATATTTAATATTCATTAAGTAGAAATAGATCATTATAAAATCTTCATCCTTGTCTTCATATTGAGCAGGCTGAGAAGGGGGAGAAAAAAGAGGATATGAGCTTTGTGTCTTGAGCTGACAGAGGCAGAAGAAAATCCATGTAGAAGTGAGCCCTCACAGTTCAAACCTGTTTTTCAAGTGTAAATTATATTCTAGATGTTTCTATGAGATCTTTTTTAAGATTAGATTAACATTTAAATCAGTAGACATTGAGTAAAGCAGGTTAGTTTACATAACATAGGTGGGCCTCATCCAATCATTTTAAAGGCCTTAAGAAAAATAAAATAGCAAAGACCTGGAACCAACCCAAATGCTCATCAATGATAGACTGGACAAAGCAAATGTGGCACATATACACTGTGGAATACTATGCAGCCATAAAAAATGATGAGTTTGTGTCCTTTATAGGGACTTGGATGAATCTGGAAATCATCATTCTCAGCAAACTGACACAAGAACAGAAAACCAAACACTGCATGTTCTCACTCATAGGTGGGTGTTGAACAAAGAACATGTAGACTCAGGGAGAGGAACATCACACACTGGGAGCAGTTGGGGGCAGGGTAGGGAAGGGACAGCAGGAGTTGGGAAGGGTGGAGAGGGATAACATGGGGAAAAATGCCAGATAGAGTATGCACCTATGTAATAACCCTGCATGACCTGCACACGTACCCCAGAACCTAAAGTAAAATAAAAAAAAAAAAAGAAAGAAAAAGAAAATAGCTGAAGTCCTCGGAGGTAGAGGGAATTCTTTCTTCAGACTGACTTCAAGCTTGACTGCAGTTTCAAATCCTTCCTGGGTCTCCAGCCTGCAGGCCAGCCCTATGAGTTTTGGACTTGCTAGTCCCACAATTGCATGAAACAATTCTTTAAAATCTCTCTTTTTCTATAGACTGATCAACTGATAGATATAGATATAGATATGGATTTAGATATGTGTAGACACACACAGCTTATTTGTTCTGTTTCCTGGAGAACCCTAATACAACCAGTTTGAAGGACTGTTGTGAAAGTCAAAAGAAAGAAGACAAAGGTAAGTATTTTGCTATTATCGAGTAGTTTATAGATTTTGGGATTGGTGGGAGTCCAGGGTTATTTTATAATCTTATAACTCAAGACTTAAGAAACAGGAGAAAATATGGGATGATAATTTTGTGGTCCTCACTTTGTGAGATTTTAGGACAATTACCCTTACGGAGTTTGTTGAGTTAGAAAAATATCCCTGAAAGTTGGTCATGCTCTGACAACAATGTAGCCATGACTTGAGACTCAGATTCTTTTGTCTTCTCTGTGATTCTGCGTAGTAACTTCTTATACAAGACTGATAATTGTGCTGGGTGTGGTGGCTCAAGCCTGTAATCCCAGCACTTTGGGAGGCCGAGGCAGATGGATCACAAGGTCAAGAGATCGAGACCATCCTGGTCAACAAGGTGAAACCCAGTCTCTACTAAAAATACAAAAATTAGCTGGGCATGGTGGTGTGCGCCTGTAATCCCAGCTACTCGGGAGGCTGAGGCAGGAGAATTGCCTGAACCCAGAAGGCAGAGGTTGCGCTGAGCCGAGATCCTGCCATTGCACTCCAGTCTGGGTAACAACAGCAAAACTCAGTCTCAAAAAAAAAAAAAAAAATGCCGGGCGCGGTGGCTCAAGCCTGTAATCCCAGCACTTTGGGAGGCCGAGGCGGGTGGATCACGAGGTCAAGAGATCGAGACCATCCTGGTCAACATGGTGAAACCCCGTCTCTACTAAAAATAGAATAAAAATTAGCTGAGCATGGTGGCGCGTGCCTGTAATCCCAGCTACTCGGGAGGCTGAGGCAGGAGAATTGCCTGAACCCAGGAGGCGGAGGTTGTGGTGAGCCGAGATCGCGCCATTGCACTCCAGCCTGGGTAACAAGAGCGAAACTCCGTCTCAAAAAAATTAAAAAAAAAAAAGACTGATAATTGTTTAGTGTGAATTTATCTTTGATACTTTTTCCATGGCATTAATAAACTATACTGAATTTGCACACATCATCTACGGATAGGCTGGAAAATTATGAAGAAGAGACCTAGAGCCATTTCCTTATCTTTTAGTATAAAATGCCTTCTATTTAAATTGATGAACAAAAGTGGACAATAAGCAATCAAGAAAACAAGTAATATTATCAGAATAAAATGTTGCCAGAGAAACAACTCTTAAAAGAGTGTGACTCCTCCGCAACTTTTACTGCCCTCTTAACATATTGTCTGTCACAACACCGCAGACAGAAAACAGTGAGTCACCAATGAATCTTCATCATTTATGTCTAAAGCTTTTTTTGGCATCTTGTACTGACACTGCTGGCTTTCTGAATTTTAGTATCTATAGTTAAAATGAGGATTTACTGTTCATCTTTTAACAAAGAAAAAATATATGTATTAGCATATCTACTCAGGTTTAATGTTTCATGACTCTTTCTACCTTCCTTTGCCCTCGGACATGCTCTAATGAATGTTTCTACATCAGCAGTGAAAAGATGAAGATGAAGAAACAAATTGTTTCTTTGGCTGTGATTTGTACCAGTGCTTCTCTAAGACGAAGGGGAAGGTAGTATTGTCCTATTCTTGTTAGGGAAAGATTGGACCACTACAATTCCCTCTTGCGTCTTCAGGCATAGCTTGAGTCTTTTGTGAACTAACTCAGAAGATCATTTTATATGATGCCATTTCCTTTTACAATATAAGAATTTTGAAATAATAAGCTGATAATTAATTGTCATGAGTACATCTCTAGCCAAATTTGAGATACAAAGCCTAGTTATTTGACTTCCAATATGACATTGAAATGAAACATGAGGGTCCTTTGTGGCAGCATAGACCAGACCTCCTTCCGTCTTTATTTGCTTCCAATAACCACACATTTAGAAAGTTGTTTAATTCCATTACCATTAGTCTAATGAGGAAATAAAAACTAAATAAAATTAGAGCCTTTGCCTGAAGCAGCTTCAATGTGTTCTCTCATTTTAAAGCTCACGCTTAAAATTGCTGCTACAGGCCTGGTTCTAACTATGGAACTGAGTTACAGATATTCCACAAGAACCTCAACCATATTACCAATAGTGTGCCTGTGGATAAATGACCACATGATTTTACATACTTGGTTGAAATTTGTAGTTTACACTCATACTTATCTAGTGATGTAACAGCCATATGAAATTCTATAATTTTACAGCTCTAGACATGCAAATGCTGAGACAAATTGCATTAAATTTTATTTAATAGTTTTAATTTGTTTGATATCCATTGAACTAATTTGTATCTGGCGCACGCTGAGTATGTCACACAACACAGGCTAGTGGTGTCTGTTACCTTTAAGATCACTTAATGCTGGGCGTTATTTGTGAGGTGCACAGAAAATATTTCTTGAAAAAAAATTAATTTTATGAAATAGCTTCTCAGGTATTTTAAATAATATCTTGATTCAGAAAAATAGCAGTTCTCTCTGTCCCTTTATTCAGTTTTTGAAAAGATCTTGAACAATGCTCACCTTATCCTAGTTTTGGCACATGCTATTTCTCATCCCTTAAGTCTCAAAATGTATCTTCTCAAAGAGGATTTATCCAATCTTTATTCAAATAAATTCATTTTGTCCCTTTTTCTTTATTCTTTTTCATTGCATCCTGCTTTTTTGCTTCAGACAACTTATAATTATTAATATACAAATGCGATTTTTGAAGGTACGTCTCTCCACTAGACTATACATTTCAACAGAGTATAGATCATGTTCATTTTGTTTGCCACCAAACAGCCTCCAGCAGATGCCTTGCTCAAAATGGGAGGTCATTAGTAGGTGAATGAATAAATAAGTGAAGTGCAGGATCCCATTTAGAAGGCCTGTCAGTCCCTACATTTTCCCAAAGGAAGATGATATATGTAATGAGAACAACAAAGGGTATATATTCAAGTTATCAGATTATACTACTTACTAACTGGCAAATGACTAATTTGAATGTATTTCTTAATTACAAAATGAAGAAAAAGATACTGACTTTCCTTAGCTCAAGGGAACGTTGTGAAAATCAAATGAAGTACTGAATGCAAAAACACTTTTGCAACTGGAAAGTGCTTTGCTATGCTTATTATCATCACTTTTTATGAGTTTATGCTATAATCTTTGAATATACACACAAACTAATGTTGGAGAAATAAATGAATTTAGGGGCAGTTTGACATAGGTGATCCACAAAAATCATTCAGTATCAAAAGTAGAGAATGCTTGCAGTGAGATGGATAATTAGACTGAATGATGTAAAAAGTTCCTGTTTACCTTAAAAGGTATATATTTAAATTAATTTATTAAAAATCTTTCTGAAATATGTCCCATATGTTTACAGCTTTCTTCTATTCTGTGTAAATGCAAAGCTCTTTTAAATAATAATGATTTACCAGCATTTTATGAACACCTTGTGCATCATACTTTCAGAGAGGAGAAATTTTAAAAACATACTATTTATACCTCCTCAAATACATTTTTATAGGATATTCTGTTTCATCATAATTTTCTCCCCTGGTTATTCATTACTAGCCACATTTGCATGAAAACAATGTTTATTTCCTCAGAGTTCATCTGTGCCTGTAGTTTATCCCCTACCTAAAGTCATAATTCTTTGTTAGTGACACCATGATTGTTTGTCGGGTAAATGATT